ATTTTAAAGCTGAGTGCCACATCCACAAACATCCTATGCAGGTTCAATTCAGTCATTTCTCACAAAACACTGAAAAAGCAAACAATTCTCTTCAGTTTTGTAATGTTTGTGAAAAATACCGAGCTTGACCACTACACTGTAACTCCCAGTATCACTCTAATGGTATCACTAGTTTAACTATCTACGTTTCAAATAATAAAAAACTCAAGTTCCACTTGGTTCTGAAACACTCGTCAGGTCTTCCTGAGAGGAAGTTGCAGTACACTCAGCTGTCATGACATAAATTGATGGAACTCATTGAGGAAATCTTATCCTTAACTTCTTTCTTTTTTTAAGGTTGGGTTTAAAAAGAACACGTACAGAAACCCTTCATAAGCCATGCTGCTACTAAAAGGTTACAAAAACACCAGTAAGTGGAGCTTGAGTTCAGGTTTTATGAGAATATAACAAACATTTACTTTCTATTTGCTCCTATTTTGATAGAAATGTATATCCATTGTTACCTAGTGATACACAATCTGCGGTACATGTCTGTGGTGCAGTCACTATTTACAGGGGAAAAAAGCCATTTAGATTCATAAGCCTCCAAATGATTGATATTGTAATACTGATACAGTCCTCTGTAAGTATTTAACAGTATGAAGCTCACCTTACATCACTGCATTCATTTTCCAGAGTGTTGTTCAGCATGTCCAGAATTAATGTCTAACCAAAACAACAGTCAAGACCTATCTGTGCAAGGTTGTTTGTAGGCTAGACGCATCAGGCACGAGAGCGGCAGCTGTTCTGAAGTGTGTGTACCTTTATCTGACATCTTGTTTCAAATGTCAGTGGCCAGGTCAGTTTTCCCACTGATGTTGCCCTCTTCCTGCTCTAATGTGGCATCTTAAGTGGGACAGCGACCTCAAAATGTGGTTTTAAGAGGATGAGAATTACTGTACTGTGAATAAGAGTTTAGCCAGATTTAATTATCTAATTTATTTGAAACTAAACCTTAAAGAAAGAATGTGATGAAAACTGCCATAAAGATGTATGATTAGTCCACCTTTATCAAGTCCATGGGTGAGCTGCCAGGAATGTTTACATTGGGAAAAATCTGGGTAATAATGTAATATACTGTAATACTGTTTGTCTTCATTCTCTTTTCCGGCAGTGATGATAAGGAGTTGAACTCTGCAGTTGGAGTCAATCACGGACAATTGCTGAATAACAGGCTGCCATCAAAACCATCCTTGTTATTACCCTCATCATCATCACCCCAAGAGTATAAGTGATTATCCAAATTAGAAGCCAGGCAGCCAGTGACAATACCAGTTCACATGAACTTGTCTTTTATCTTTGCTATCTGCATTATGCACAGCTTTTAGAAAATCAATCATCTCTTTAGCTAGAGTAACAGCCAGAGGGCAAACCCTCTCCTAATTCATATTAAAGCTCTGCGTGACTACAACAACAATCATATGATCCCCTATGAGCAAGCACTTTGGTAACATTGGGAAGGAAAAACTCCCTTTTAACAGGAAGAAACCTCTGGCAGAGCCAGGTTTAGGGACGGGCGGCCATCTGCCGTGACCGGTTGGGGGGAGCAAAGGAAGACAGGATAAAAGACATGCTGTGGACTTAGTGAACAACACACAAAGAGGCTGTAGAAGACACATGGAACAGACTCTGGATAGAAATTTAGAGGAGAAACATTGAGCAGACAGGAAGGAAAATGAAAACAAAGATAAATCTAAATTGCTTCTCCAGACGACCAGCATGAACTACACAACTACACGAAAGACTCCAGTGGTGGAATCAGCAGAAGGATGAGTCTGTTTCAGAAATGAACTCCACAAAACTGTCCTGACCAGCATTCCTCACTTTTGCCATTCTTCTCTTCCTCCCATCCACCTGTTAAAGACAACTGTCTTGTTGTGGTTTATTAGTCGCTAACACAGCAAATATATATGCTTACATGATCGTCTAGTAGACCTCCTTAGGGACGAAAGAGTCGTAACAGGTTGCTGAAATGCAAGTCTCCTGAAAGCAAAAAGATGGATAAAGAAAGAGAAGAAAAAGGAAAGAACAGAAAAAGAAAACCATCAGTTTCATGGTCACTCTGGAATAATAAACACTCTGCTATGCTACAGAAACCCTGCTCTACAATATCCTTCATTTCTATTCTGTCAGCTGAGACTGGTGAAACCAAAGATTGAGGAGGTGAAGAACAGAACATCTTTCTATTGAAAAAAGTAGAATAATAAACCTGAATATAAATGTTCTACTCGATCCCTTTACTCTTCAGCCTTCCTCTTTCTCTGTGTAGGTCTGGTGTGTGTTTTCCATCTACTTGCAGTTCAATGTGGATTGGTACCAGCGCTATCATTTTCTGTCATTACTCACTTTGGACCAGAAAATGTGTGGAAACCCAGACTACTTTGGCAGAGTGAAGCAAGAATACATGGATTAAAGAGGAGAGAAAGGAGATGGAACATCTATGACAGTGACAGCACTGGAGCCAATAAGGTCAGCCTTGTGTTTCTCACCTCTCCTGGAACTGTTTGGATGGTATTAAGCCAGCACGAGGATTTGTGTCGCCCTCGTGTTTGGCCTGCCACCAGGTTGCATCATCTTGGCTCATGATCTGTAGGATGCAACCCTTCTTGAAGGCCAAACCAGCTTCCTTACATGGGATGGTGTTGTCATCTTTTGGGTCGTAGTCAAAGAGCGCCTTCACAAACATCTGTACATCATCATGAGGAAAGGCAAGAAAACAAAGAGGAGGATGAAGACACAACAGGAACAAGTTCACTATGTTGTATATAAAATGTTTTCTTTCTAAAACATTGTCATCATGGTTAAAGGTGATTCACCAAAGCTCAGAGTGATTATTCTCAAAAGATTACAGCAATCGATGGTAAACGCTGCAAGTGATGGCCAAGATGGTCTTTCAATGACTTTCCACTATCAAAGGGTCTAAATCACTTAACAAGTGGATAAACCAAATAACAGAGAAAGACAGGACCTACCTGTGGCTCCTTGATAGATGCCTCGTCCTTTGCACCAGGGACAACTTTAAAGGTAATGGCTCCTTGTGACTGTGCCTAAATAATGTAGGAACAGAAGTTGGAGTAATTGTAAAGGATAGTTTTCCTATCCTTTTAAGTATTTTATAAGAGACCTAATCTAGTTACAGTGACATAGCGTCAAGCATTGATTTTTCAACAAAGGAAGGTTTAGTGGGATAGTATAACCATTCTTGACAGAATTAGGGAGTACAGTGCAGGGGTGTAAAGGAGGAGTGTTGAGAGCTCAAAGACTTTGTGTCTGAGAAGGCCTTAAGAGTTTAAGATCCCAGGCACATGACAGAGCTCATTTAGGCCTGTGACCAAAGCTGCGTGGAGGAACTACACATCATCAGCCTCATCCACAGAGACTCTGCATGTGATCTATCGGCCATCAACACGGCAATGGAGGCCTGGGTCGTGGATGAGTTGATAAGGGGAGGTTTCTGTCATTATAAACAAAGGCTGGTACCAAGGGAGTGGAGCTGAAAAACCTCAGTCTCACAAACGTCCATAGAAAGACAAGACTTACCAGAATACGAATGATTTCCTCTGGTTTCTTGTCGTCCACAGGGATTCCATTGACCTCCTTCAGTTCATCCCCTACATGAATTAAACCTGCCACACATAAACAGACGTTACTAATTTGCAGTCATTCTGGCATTCTATTATTTTAACGCCCTGATGTAAGCGAGGTACTAAATTCTGTGCAATCCCAATATATTCCACACTACAGACTTGTATGGCTCTTTTCCACTAGTATCTACTTTGCTCATCTTGACTTGACTCTGTTTTTTAGGGTTTTCTATTAGATGGCAGCACCTGATACCTACTAGAGCAGTCGTTTTGAGCAACCTGAGTTGATCTGAAACTGTGACGTCAACAGACTCCATGCCACCATGTGATGCCAGTCAATTATGTCACTTGATGAGTCATGAAAGTGATTCCTTCACAAACATCAAAACTGCCCTTTTTGAAACACGGCATCCAGGGAAATGGTGCAGAAAAACCAACAGTGTGATCGGACAGGTATACCAACGCCTCCATGTCCACTGTTGTGTGCTGGGTTTGTGTTGCATACAAATGACATCATGGGACTTTTAAATGAGTTGCTATAACGACCCCATGTAAACTGAGGTGCTACACAGTGACAGAAAATGACAGAAAACTGAGTAGAATCGAGTACACACACACACACACACACACACACACACACACACACACACACACACACAAACTTATAAAAGAGAGAAAAAGGCTGGAACCAACCACTTCTGTCAGCTGGCCCTCCCTTCATGATCCGGGCCACAATGATGGCACCTGTGCTCTCATCACGTCTTATTGTTGCTCCCTATAAAAGAAGAATAGTCATTATAACAGCATTTCTACCTTTATGACATTATGATGTGCAAGTCAAACAGCAATGACCTAAAATCACTGTAAAGATGAAAATTAAGGCGTAGAGACAGATAGATACTGCACACAGGATGATTGTTAAGTTACTTACCAGTGGCTCCTTGTTCTTGACCAATCTTATAATTTTCACAGAATCTTCATCGTCATCGATGTCTTCAGGCAGCGGAGGTAGTTCGGGGTCATACTTCTTTTGGGCAACTGCGTCGTGGACGGACAGGAGGCTCTAGAAAAAGGAGAAAATAGGATTTATGGGAGGAAACACAAAACAGGCAAGGGTTATCTGTCAAGCCACGAAGGCCTCAACTTTACCCCAGTCCACTTAGCTAAATAAAGTATGGCCATGCATGCTATTAAGAGTCCGATCTATCACTTCCTTTTTTAAGCAGGACAGAGACACTGCAGACTGCAGGGAGGATGGTTATGAATTGGGTTGTCTCCCTCATGTGCTGGGTGATGGATTTGAAAGCATTCAAGGCCAGAGCTTGTAGATGAACAAGCGTTAATTGCCATTAGGCCCGTGCTCTCCCTCCATACATCTCTCTGATTAAAGGCAACCCAGGCTCGCCCTGCACCATTGCTCAGCAAGAGCTGCAAATGTGACCACCACAAAATCCACACTTTGCAGGGTAAGGTGGTGAAGACTCAAAAGCAAAGTTCTCAGCTCAGATATTTCACACTTTCACGAGCAGGCATAAAAAGAGACGGGACGCAGACGGGAATGATGCCATTCAGGAGACATTCATTTTTCAAAGTATTTAACAACCGCGTGTCCGGACCAAGATGCAGCTAGATGCGTGCTGCTTTTTCTGTGGTTTAGAGGGGGGGAAAAATTGAGAAAAACATCTTCCAACCAAAGTGCCAGACAAAAGTAGAGGGGTGGAGAGCAAGAGAAACAGGGAAGAAAGAGAAGGATATGGTGAGAAGAGAAGCAGTGTGTTTTATGACATGGGAGCATGCTGCAGTACAGCATTCAAGATGTTGCTAACTGGGAGTAGATGAGAGGAGGAGACACAACTGGAGCTATGTGAGTAGTCTTTGGAAGGCAAAGAGTCTGTATTACCTTATTATAACTAAAAATAATAACTTCTTTCGATCAAGAGAATCCCAAATGAATAACACATGTAAAGAAAATCTCACAGCCAGGAAATCTTTAAAAATGGTTGGTTTTGATCCTACTTCAGAGATAAAATGCCACTCCTCTCCAGCTTGTCTTCTTTGGCTTGTGCTGCTACACCGTCTGCCAAAATTCACCAGCCAGCAATGGAGGAAGCAGTAGCAGAAAGAACATTTTCCATTGTTTGGTGGGGAATTGCTTGGCTGACCCCATTCTGCACTGGAGCTGAGAGACCACTGCACAACTACAGCAGCAATTATATGTGTTAGGTGCAGGGGAAAAACATAGTAATGAGCCAAATGAGTACCAGTTTGCTGGAGGTGTGTGTGGAGTTGCTGATTCTATGTCTAAAATATGTGCTGCCTGGTGAAATATGTGTGTCTGTACCTATAGCACCTGTAAAAAACACATGCTCCACACTTGTCTTTGAACAGATTAATGTAGTTGTTCTTAATGTGTTTGGAGAATTTAGGAAATGAATCATAATTACCAGCTCAGACATTGAAAAATCCATGTTTGGGAACCACCATCTCTTGAATTCCTGCTGTTTGACACTGATAGGTATTAAATATTTGCATGTACTGTAAGTGTGTGTGTGTGTGCTATGTTGGGGGAGAACTAGAGAGCTGTTGTTTCTGGCAGAGCCCAAACAAGCATGACGACAGCGCATTAAAAACGGAGCCTGTCCAACTCTGCTTCTATCCTGCGTCGTGAAGGCAGCTCTGTCTGGCTGAGACACCTGGAGGCCCTGATGGATGGCCCCAGTTATGCATTAGAAAATAAAAATGTGTAAATTTATTTGTAGCTGTCTGCATCTGGCTAACGAGGTCAGCAACGGCAGCCAAGAAAACGAGACAAGGCCTGGATCTAACAGGCGTGTTATTTTGTGTACAGCACGATGATTGTAACGCTTTAATGTGGCTGCTGTGCAAACAGCAAAGATCCAGAGCCAGAATTGCCAAATGCTTTGCTGTTTTTTGGATGGAATAATACAATCCTCCACAAAGAGAATATGTGGTTTTAGTTTGTTAAAACCTGCTCAGTACAAAATAAGCAAATCCTTTACTCACCTTTACATGTGGGTTTGCCAGCAGTTTAAGAAGCTCTTTGACATCCTGACTGGCTGATTTGCCTTCCAGCTCATCAGACACCTGAAAATAGTCAAGGACACAATGTTCACACAACTGTGCTCAGACCATTAAGCATGCTTCTCTTTTTCAGGTGTGCATGTGAACATTCAATGCTTCGACAAGAAGACAACAGCAGTCTGTATAATGAAAAACCAATGGTAGAGGTTTGTAATTAACAGTTCAACTCTGCAAGGTGTGCTTTGTGTCAGTAATGAATAGAGGACTTGCATTTAGAGAGATAAACATACTAGTTATGCTTTATCTAAAGAAGTTATGTTGGTGTATCTTCTATTTGTATCATATTGTATTAAGACATAAAAATGCAGCTCTTTCAGTTACAGGATTTATCTGCAGCTTCATCTTGTCTTAAATAAGGTAAATCGCAGCTGGAGGCAAGGCCACACTTTGTCATGTGGCCTAGAACTCCCACCTACTGGCACCTGCCCTTTGATAAATCTTCTATTGTACCAGATCATTTTCCAATGAGAATCTCAAGAACTAAAGAAAACAGTCAGTTAAACCTGGAAACAATGGGAGCTCTGAGAGCATCACTGATTTATGGAAGATCCTCCTGGACTTGGTTGTAGTGTGGAAAGGAGCAGCAAGCCATCCCACACAGTAAAAACTGACATGAAAGCCACTTGACACTGATGAACCCTTTACCTGTGTTTGTATTTTTCGTATCTGACCCTGCAGGAATAAAATGCAGACCAATGCTCTCTGATGGCACCAAGTGATCTGTCCAAGTAACAGCAGAGTTTGTATTAAGATGTTTGGAAGTCAGCCAGAAGAGGAAAATGGTTTTCCAACAGGGAGAAGGATACAAGTCAACCATAACAACCATACAGTTCTAGATCAGTGGCCATCATTTGAACTATTTATTGATGATGTGGTGTGTCTCACTTGCTTACACCAACGGCACTGGCCATGCTGGTTTCACTTGAGCGGTGGCAGTCACTTGCTGGGAGTTCTAGACAGTGCGGCCGGGGCCAGACGAGGGTTGAAGTGTCATTTTATGTTAGTCAATAAATTAAACCTCCATTAACCGAAACCCATCTAGACAGACACTGTTCACCAAAGGTTCCTTTAATCGATTCATTTGCCTCCCAGCCAATAAAAAGATCGATCAGTTTAAACAGTTTTTTAAAACACTTACGTCACGTGCCAGAGGTGCAGCTCCTTCCAGGACAGGGGCGGGCTTGCTCTCTTCATAGTGCTGCAGCCGTTCGTGGATCTGAAAGGACAGATTGTATTCATTATTAAGGTAGTTATTGAGATAGTAGTGAGCACATGTGGAAGAAAAGTGTGCACGCTGGAAGCCATGTGCACGTCTCCAAACAGACATGTGAGAAAACATGTACACCCTTCATCAGCACCATCTTGTACATACACAGAGTTCATTAAATCATGTCCTTAAATACCAAAAGCACACACAAAGATCTTTCACTCCCTCGATCCACTAAGTATTTCAGTTAGCTTAGCCACTGTACAAACAATCCAGTTTTCCACCATGCATTCGATATGTCCCAGTGGCCCCGTGATGATTCCAAATCATTTCAACAGTCTGGTGAAATTGGCTAAACATTTCCTTATCAGCCTCAGCGCTGTGACTGCACAGTGTTGAGAGACAGAGCTGCGTCTCTGGAGAGTTGCTAAGATGGAAAGTAAGCCTGACTCGTGCGCTCACTTTCACTCATTTATACACGCAAAACCACTTCATCATATGTGGAGCAGAGATGGAATAATTTATATACACACAAAGCACACGTTCACACCCACGCACACAACGTCAAAGACACAGTTGCACACTTGTGCCTACGCACACACAGACTCACAAAAAACACTACAGATATCCCATTTGTGATTTAAAAGCAGCTGCGCAGGAATGCATTGACAGCCTACAGGCTGCTGTCAGGTCCCATCAAGGAACAGACAGGGACAGCTTTCCTCCCAGCAGCCACTCCTGCGTCTCTCCTTCCTCAGGCCCAGCATGGTGAAGGGGATCTGGGCCACGGGTCTGACTGATAGCTGGGCCCCGAGCCTGGAGCTTCCAGCTGGATGTCCTAGAAAGCATTCCAGGAGGATGGTGGAACAGAGGAGCCTCTGGCTGAGGAGAGAGTGACAGAGACGCTCTGGGCCACTTCTATATCTAAAGGGCCAAATCCACACATGCGGGAGTGCGCACACACACACACACACACACACACACACACACACACACACACACACACACACACACACACACACACACACACACACACACACACACACACAGATGGAGCAGTGACAATGTGTGACAGAAAATCACTCAGCAGGACAGAAAAAGACAAGAAAAGCAGTTTGTTTGCTGTCACACTGAACGGCTACAGATGCTTTGTGCAATTAAAACATCTGTTTTAGGAATGTTAGACATAGTTGTTACTCCTCGCAACACAGGTGATTATGTTTTAAAGCTAGATGGTAGCAGTACTGTAAATACGGAGGAAAGCAAGTCAGAATCACTGACAGTTGAATGTTCTGACACAGTCACAGGACAGTATTTGTCCTCAATGTTTTGGCCCTGGCAGAAGTTCTGATTAGCAATAACATGAGCAGCATGTGTAGATGAGTTGATTTGAGTCTCTTCAAGCTGTCATCTGGCTTCGATAATCACCAGGGACCAACACCAAAATCCAAAACATGATGTCATTCAAAAACATTACCCAAACACCAAATGTCACCCATCAAAATCACTTTTATAACTTTCCAGTGAAGAAAACGCGACGCAACGACGTGTGAAATGTCTTTACATCGTCTCTCCCCATCAAGATTCCAGTTTAAATCTTGGCCTTAAACAGCTACAGCCATTTCAGCTGGACTTATCCACACAGTCTGCCGAGATAAATCACAGCGTGTTAGGACTCTGTCTTGGCCAGCATAACAGTCATGTTTCAAGGTCAGCTTAGAAGTTCAAATCCTGCATAAAGCCGTTATTACTCAGCAATAAAACACGGTGCATTAGGCGTGTCGTGGAGGTAAACATGTTTTTCCCCTGTGGACATGCTGATGGATGTTAGGACTGCTGTTGATGCTTCGGCAACCTGTCATGCTGTAAACTTTTTTAGACCCCCAATTATCTCAGAATTAATCCTGAGATAAATGGGGGTCAAATCACTCTATAACACTATATAAAACAGTGCTAACTGCATCTTGTGAACATCATCTATAAGCCCTAACATTATGGCTAACTAGTTTTATTTTTCTTTCCACTGAGTTATTGGTTTGAAATAATCTGTCACTAGTTTGCTAACATGAACTAATGTAATGTTTAGGGTCAGGGTTGCACACTTTGGAGACTTTTCAAAATACCCGAAGACATAAAACATAGTATTTAAGCAGGCTTAAGACCTCTGCCCAGAAAACTTCACATCACATCCTTTACAAGCTGAACATCTTTTTCAAAGTGACCCGGAGCAAAACCCTGTGACAGACTGGCGACCTGTCCACGGTGTACCCTGCTTCTCGCCCTAAGACAGCTGGGATAGGCTCCACAGTCCCCCCGCAAGTCTGAAAAGCAGCAGAGAATGGATGGAGGGATGGATGAAACTGGAGTAATGGCTGTGGGATTTTCCTTGATTACCAATACAGACAATACAAAATGATAGAATAGGGACTGGTTGACCTGTAGCTTTCTTCTTGTTTTAATTGTCCCTCCAGTGTGCTTGACATGGTTCAAAAAGTTTTTCAGTAGTCAACAGCATACTGTGACCTGTCTGCTGCAATATGGAGTTTCCTTCTTCCTTCCCCTGTCCCTATCATAACCTTGCATTTGGCTTCATCTATCATCATCTAGCCACTTTTGGCTCATTTCAGAGGTACTTGTTTGTGAACAACGTGCTTGATCCGGTAAATCTGGGCTGCAGTCGACCATTGAACTTTAATGAAAATATTTGGAAGGCAGCCTAAATCCAAAGTAAGACAGTGCAAGGAAGGGGATATATTTTGGATTCAAGTGAGGCTTTTAAAATATAAATAAGCACCTGGCTCGTGTCATGAGAATATTTTCTAGCAACAAACAGATGTAAATAAAAGCTGAAAGATGATATCGGACAATAATTCTTTCATCTCTGTAACATAATCGGATTAGGATGGATGTGAGACGTCCCGACCATCTGGTGAGTACAGGTGAGAGAGACAGAAAGAGCATATGTCTGGTTTAAGTCTTCATGTTACTCTGAATTCTCTACTTCTTTCTTGTTTCTCTCTCCATCTGTGACACCTCCTCCTCTGGACCGTCTCTCTCCTTCCAGACAGAGTGACCAACAACTGGTTGTAATTACCCAGGTGAGGCAATTACAACCAGTGAGTGACCTGGGTTGGGAAGCCTGTCAGATTAACTTGATGTGTGTGTTTTCTCTCTGCTGTTTAGCCATTCTTTCGTATCCCCTCTACAACCTTACACAAATCCCAAATAAAGGTGGACTGTGGAGATTTGGTGGCCGAGCTTTAGGAAGAGGATAATTAAGGTTTTATTAATGGTGTGTCCATGATGTTAGCCTGAATGCTGCATCTGGTTTCTGAGTAAGACGAGATGGTTGTTTAGTACTTGTGTGCGTTTTAAAGTCTGCCCGTCTGTCCATTTGGCTCACTAGGATGGCTCAGTTAATCAGTCAGACACAGCAGTCGAGCAGCTATTACATTTATTTACTGAATAATAAAGAATGGAAAGCCGATTTGCAGGAAACTACCCCATGTTTAGGGGGGAAAATTGTTCTCTATTTAACAACAAAAATCAGAGAAAGATTTCAGACAAACCTTCTCCCCAATCTCTGCAGCTATCTAGTTTAACAGGCAGTAACCAAACCACAGGCCCCTTCCTGCTGGTAGAGGAAGGAATTAGAAGATCTGGGCAGGTAGATGGTGCAATAGGACTGTAATTCATGAATAATAATTGCTTTGGAGGCCGGGGGCTCCTCTTTTCAAGACTTTTTATGTGACTAATTTAGTTGTCTGCCTTCTTGACAATAAACTTTGTACACAATCTACATGTGCAATTAAAGCTAGGCTTGGTTAAACTGAGGTATTCATATGTATAGCACTTAAATGAAATTACTTAAGTGTTTTAAGTGTATTTAAGAGTTATCAGTGCGTGCATATATGAGTTAAACAACACGTGATTTTCTGAAAAATATGTAGGCGAAATTCCTATAACTCTATTTGTTTGTTGTACCTTAACAAGTGAGTGGAGACTTCTCTCTCCAAACATATCCTGAAGGAAGGTGTTGTCCTCAGAGCAGTTGACATGAGGCTGCAGCTGGGATGGCAGGGCCGCCAGCAGCTCATACAGACCTGCAGAAGGAAAGAGGAAGCAGGAGAGGTCAGTGTGGTAGTGGGAGGTGTGAGTTGTTGCATGCACAGCAAAAGACACAAGTGCTGTATGTGTGCATGAATACATATACACCCAACACACCCAGAGTCAGGCAGAAAGCAGATGCACACGTAAAAACAAAACACACAAAGTCCTGTACTAGTGCCTTTAGGAAGGAGTACATACTTACACAGACTACAGCTCTAATTATAATCTGTGGATGCTCTTCCTTTTCCTTCCATGCTGATTCTATTACGCATTAAAAAAACAGAAACAAAAATGTATGGTTCAAACTTCTACGAGCGACAAAACAGACGATGATATCCCTCCCTTTCTTGCCACTGGAAAGAAGAGGAAACGTAAAGGCAATAAACTATTTCCCTTCCCCCGCCTTTACTTCTTGCTTTTGTTCCAGCCCTTCCTGTTGTTTGAGGGACGCTTCTGTCCATGATTAGAAACAACTGAAAAAAAACAGGGAATAAATCTGAATCCTCTCAGAACAGCGGATGCTGAAATCCACAAGGCCTTTCAGGGTTTTACTCACCCAGCTTATAAAAAGAATGAAGATTTCAAATTCAATTTAAAGAGAACCAGACTGGGGAGCTGATGGTTTCAAGATTAAGCAGGGGGAGGTGAAGCACTCAAGACGGAGAGAGCACAAAACCAGTGAGTGAGTGGGGTTACATCCAAACACAACACAGTCTTGGAGCACAGCTGATGGAGAGTGGTAGCAGATACTTGTTTGCTGCTCACTTCTGGTCCTCAGCTGGCTGTGATCCACCAAACTAGGTGATGCATTAAAGGTCAGGCTCATACTGAATGCAGTCAAGCTGCATCAAAGACCCCTTCACTAATTCTCCAGAAAAGGCCCCCCAGTTTCAAACTCCACAAACACAACCACACGGTGCTTTAAAGCCTTTGAACTAACACTGATCACGTGAAGAAGTTCTAAACATATCCACAGCAGAGCCACTGAAACGTCAAAACAAAGACAAGTAGCTTGGCTACCTCTCTGAGAGTGTCTTTCATCAGAGCACAGGGCAACAGAGAGAAAGGAGAGAGCAAAAAATCACCACAGACAGAAGCAGAGTAAGTCAGAGCTGAAAAGGACTGATTGATGGTTGACGTTGACTGCTGGACGAGCGACTGACTGAACTGGGTTCTGACCAGGTTAGAGTCAGTGTGTGCTGGCAGCTCTGGACGTTTTGTGGGAGAGCTTATGTCATGCTCTCCATCTGCTGCTGTTGGGCACCAGGATACATCAGTATGATATCCTGTCCTTTTCTCTAAACCCTGACATGATTCCTGTGCAGTGTTAGCGCCTCATACCTCACCGTTTCTCTGGAGAAAAAAAAAGGGGGGAAGAGAGACCAAGAGAACTTTTACACATAATGATGCAGGCCAGATGCAGGTTCTGGTGTCCTCATCACCAGAAAGTTTGCTTTGTAGCTAACAAAAGCCGACTGAGGGCAGCTGGCCCTCTCAATCATTTACAACTTGGAACTCTCTACAGAACATCTCACATAATATATTCAACTAAAGGATTTAAAGAGACATGGGATGAGGTGATGGGTGTAGAAAGGGCTGCTAAGGGAGCCCACTTCCCACACTATACTGATCTTCTTACAAAATACGAACTGATGAAAACAAACTCGTTTGAATAGAGGAAATGAACGCTGGGTTTTGTCTTTCTCCCAGGTGCTCGGTGAATTATGGACCCCCTCAATATACGGGGGATTTACGAGGTTTGCCAGACTGCTGGGGGAATAGTGTTGTGACAACATATTTCAAACACTGCCTTGTGAACATGTCTGAGAGTCATGTTCACTAATCCACTTGAGGCTTGATTTACCTTCCTGTTCTCCAGTTGAGAGAGGAGGAAAGACAGCCTCAAGCAACAGCATTACTGACAAAGCAGTAGACTTGATAGTAAAAGATACTTATTTGAATTTTTTTTGCCAAACTTGCTGAAAAAAACGGTTTTCAGTGAACTTTGATAAAAGAAATTACAGAAGAGGATGTACTGATGGATAACTGCAATCACACTGAGGAGCGTGAATTTTTGTCAGGCATGTGTTTGGTGTTTTGCTGACAGATTTGACATGTTTTGAGTATAAATGTGGGAACAGGGTGACAGCAGAAGTTGCAGACTGATGGATTTGGATGGAAAATCTCAAAACCCCATTATTTGTCACTATGACCTGCCAGTTTAATAAGCTAGAACTGTCAGATGACATACAAGGGCCCAAATAGCAGACAGGTCTGGCCCGGATCTGGTGTCAAGCCGGCACTGCTGGCTGACTTCGGCATGGTAAGTGATATGTCATCCAGATATGGGCCAGGCCTGGCATAGATGGCACTGTTTATGTGATGGCATGCCACATTTGGCCCGATGTGGTTTGGTGTATGTGGCCCAGGCTCATAGAAAATAGGTCTGGCCCGGATCTGGGATCAAGCTGGCACTTCTGACTGACTGGTGTCATGGCAGGGTGTATGTCAACCAGATGTGGGCCAGGTCTGGCAATGATGGCACTATTTATGTTCCTATTTTCCTGTTTTAGTTAGAAGACCCAAATGCCATGTTGCGATACTATACTGCTATGGTAGCCAACGTTTCAAATGCAGGTTTGACAGGTTTATGAGTGTACACTTTATCCAAAACCTAGTGACAGTTTACTCATGTTTACCACTGGGTGGCTGTAGTTCAGGAGGTAGAGCAGGTCATCTACTGATCAGAAGCTTAGTGATTCGATCCCTGGCTCCTCCAGTCTGCATGTCAAGAGTGTGAATGTGTACGAATGTAGGTAGGAAGCACTGAGTTAAGAATCAGTCCATTCACTGTCTGAACACAGTTTCGTCATGTTACTTTTGTTCTATTATGTTCCAGCACATGTTGTTATTACATGGCTTGATTAAGGTACACATTAGGCTGATATCTGGGGCCAGAGGTGAAACTGTTCTGGGCCAGCACAGGGCCAGCAGTGTGTCTGCAACTGGCCCTGTGCTGGCCCATGTGTGGGCCACCTCTGGTAACCTGATCTGGGCCACCAAAGGGCCGTCATTCTTTGTGGTATGTGTGCCACGTGTAAGCACAATGTGTGGGCCAGATCCGGGCCTTACAAATTTTGCTATGTGGGGATGTGTGCTGCATACAAATTCAGGAAAATACACATCAAAACACAAACATTTTGATGAAATGTATCTACAAATTGAAGTTTACAGACATACTTACAGTTTTTAGAGGTTAACATTTTTCAAGTTATTAAATTTATATGAATTATTATATAAACAATGGCGTGGCTTTTTGGCAACAAATCATAGGTATGGAAAATGTCATTTTTCCCACTCATCAAGTCAGGAACTCCCTTTAAAAAACACACATTAGTAATTTAATGTGTGTGACACCATCCCTACCATATTGTCTGTTTTCTTCTCATGATTCTTTTAAAGTCAGGTGTCACAGTGTAAGTACCATATTCTTTATTTCCTCCTGAAGTTTAGCTTAGATTCATTTCTCTTACCTCTGAATAAATCTATGGAAGTGCTTGTTTGTATAAGCCTTTGTGTTGTTGAATGTAACTTCCTTTACTCTATGTCCTCTTTGTCTATGTGTTATTGTCTGAGTTTATTCTCTCCTTTTTTTTCAGTTCCTACCTCTTTCATTTAAATGTTGGTTCCTCTTTGGGCTTTCACTTTTAAAGATAGATTTGGCAGAAAAATGAGTTTCATTCTAATTAAGGATGGGAATCAATAACAAGTTCTTGTAGAGAAACAGTTCCCAGTAGTCCAAGTCCTTGGAACCGTTAATGTGTTTGCCTATCGATTCCACTTATCCACTTGCACTTGCTCTACAATCAGCGGGTGTTAAAGTGCAAATGATATCCAGGACAGAAACAACTGTACTATGCTCTTAACACAACTTTGGCTCTTTGCAAGTATCTGCATAGACAACATGCTAATGCTAAGCTAGCCAAGAACCTAAAGTGATGTTAAAGCTGAGTGAATGGCAACCCCAGACCCTGAACTTCAACAGATTACAAACAGACGAGCACAAACCTTTGAGCATACAGTCTGTAATTAATTTGAACAAATGTAATGTCTTTGAGATCCTACTTAACAATGGTGACAACAGCTGATATTGATAATGGAATCAGAATCAATAAATTCTGATCAATTCCCATCCATACTTCCAAGGATGGCTGGGCTGTCCCTTAGAGACAGGATGAGGAGCTCGGAGTAGAGCAGCTGCTGCTCCGCATTTAAAGGAGTCAGATAAATAAGGGATCTGACTAGGATGCCATCTGGATGCCTGCTAGATGAAGTACAGTGGGGCAAAAAAGTACTTAGTCAGCCACCGATTGTGCAAGTTCCCCCACCTAAAATGATGACAGAGGTCAGTAATTTGCACCAGAGGTACACTTCAACTGTGAGAGACAGAATGTGAAAAAAAAATCCATGAATCCACATGGTAGGATTTGTAAAGAATTTATTCGTAAATCAGGGTGGAAAATAAGTATTTGGTCAATAACAAAAATACAACTCAATACTTTTGTTGAAATTTCCCAATTCTTTGAATCTTTGGGCTGAAGGAAGGACAATACTCGGTGTATTTATGCTCAATCAACAATCATTTATTTCCATACAATTCAACACTTAAGAGCATAAGGACCATCATGATGGGGAGACCTGCCTGAAGAGGGTCACAGCAGTCTCAAAATGGTGACGGGTTATTCAGCTTCTTATAGTCTCTGGTGGCCCCACCTAGTCGTAAAAGCCTAAACATTACATTCTTTCTCTCTTACGGCGCCTAAGTTATGACCTCGGCTCCCTGTCTTTCTGCTCTTCTGAAAGGTGGGGGTATGGAATGTGGTCTATCTCCCCTGTCTTAGACACCAAGTCTCCTGCTTACAACCTTCTTTTTATGATTCAACAATAGAGCATGTCAAGAAAACAGTGTAACACATTCCCAGCAGATCAAGGATACAGAGTGATGCACATTTATCTAATGAACTAATATGTGAATATGTTCTGTTAACTCAAAAGTATAATGAGAACTAAACTACATACAGATCACACACTCTATATTAAAGGGTATAATATGATCTACAGCAGTATTCTAATTCAACTACTTTGATTACATATATAAGGTAACATATAGTAACAGAATAATCTAATACTTTGTAACATAACCTTTGTTGGCAATAACAGAGGTCAAACGTTTACTATAGGTCTTTACCAGGTTTGCACACACAGTAGCTGGTATTTTGGCCCATTCCTCCATGCAGATCTTCTCGAGAGCAGTGACGTTTTGGGGCTGTCGCCGAGCAACACGGACTTTCAACTCCCGCCACAGATTTTCTATGGGGTTGAGGTCTGGAGACTGGCTAGGCCACTCCAGGACTTTCAACAGGACTTTCAAATGCTTCTTACGGAGCCACTCCTTTGTTGCCCGGGCGGTGTTTTGGATCATTGTCATGTTGGAAGACCCAGCCTCGTTTCATCTTCAAAGTTCTCACTGATGGAAGGAGGTTTTGGCTCAAGATCTCACGATACATGGCCCCATTCATTCTGTCCTTAACACGGATCAGTCGTCCTGTCCCCTTGGCAGAAAAACAGCCCCATAGCATGATGTTTCCACCCCCATGCTTCACAGTAGGTATGGTGTTCTTGGGATGCAACTCAGTATTCTTCTTCCTCCAAACACGACGAGTTGAGTTTATACCAAAAAGTTCTACTTTGGTTTCATCTGACCACATGACATTCTCCCAATCCTCTGCTGTATCATCCATGTGCTCTCTGGCAAACTTCAGACGGGCCTGGACATGCACTGGCTTCAGCAGCGGAACACGTCTGGCACTGCGGGATTTGATTCCCTGCCGTTGTAGTGTGTTACTGATGGTGACCTTTGTTACTTTGGTCCCAGCTCTCTGCAGGTCATTCACCAGGTCCCCCCGTGTGGTTCTGGGATCTTTGCTCACCGTTCTCATGATCATTTTGACCCCACGGGATGAGATCTTGCGTGGAGCCCCAGATCGAGGGAGATTATCAGTGGTCTTGTATGTCTTCCATTTTCTGATGATTGCTCCCACAGTTGATTTTTTCACACCAAGCTGCTTGCCTATTGTAGATTCACTCTTCCCAGTCTGGTGCAGGTCTACCATACTTTTCCTGGTGTCCTTCGAAAGCTCTTTGGTCTTGGCCATGGCGGAGTTTGGAGTCTGACTGTTTGAGGCTGTGGACAGGTGTCTTTTATACAGATGATGAGTTCAAACAGGTGCCATTCATACAGGTAACGAGTGGGGGACAGAAAAGCTTCTTACAGAAGACGTTACAGGTCTGTGAGAGCCAGAGATTTTCCTTGTTTGTGGTGACCAAATACTTATTTTCCACCCTGATTTACGAATAAATTCTTTACAAATCCTACCATGTGGATTCATGGATTTTTTTTTCACATTCTGTCTCTCACAGTTGAAGTGTACCTCTGGTGCAAATTACTGACCTCTGTCATCATTTTAAGTGGGGGAACTTGCACAATCGGTGGCTGACTAAATACTTTTTTGCCCCACTGTATTTTGGGCATGTCCTACCATGGGGTAACCCCAGAGCAGACCAATGACTTGCTGGAGAGATTATATCTGTTGATTGGCTCTGTTGAAGTCTTGGTGTCCCCTAGAAGAGCCTCCTTTCTCTGACTAAAGATAAGGCAGCCAGGGTGAGGGAAGTCTGGGCTTCTCTGCTCAGGCTGCTGCTGCTTAACTACGATACAGGGTGATTGATGGATGGATGGATGTTGTTCATTCTTCGTGTGGTAGGAAGGTGTGATCGCGTAATACCTTGCTATGGGTGCAACAAACCTCAGCATAGCACAAACCTTTCTCCCCATGCCATAACTGCCGTTCACTTTAGTTTATCTCAGTTTCTCATTTCTTCTCTCTCGTGCTTGGCCTCTCACTCGTCACACGATTCTGCAGAGTTTCATCATCATCATTTTTGTGGCTTATTTGTGGTAGCAGAGCAACCTTTAAAACCAGGGCATGGCAAATATAAAACTACATTGCAGAAAGGAAATTCAATAAAATATTATCTATCATATGTCTTCCAGCTGGAAGTACAGATTGTATTGAAACAGATTAAACAACAGTGGTGCACCAGGAGTCATCATATTTTTTAAGATGTTATTTCCTTATTACATTTTGAAGCTGTAGTTTTAAGTCACAGCTGATCTAAAAATGTATTTATCAATTAAATGGTTGCTTTTTTTCTTGAAAACTATGAATTCTTTTTTCCATCATTCTCACAGAACTTTGGCTCCTAAATCAACAGCTTTCTTAGGATACCAGGAGTAATACTACCAGTAATCTGTGCGAACGTCGGTCACTCCCTATGCCAGGCTAACCACAAGCATTTATGACTTCTCCCAACCTGTAACACAACATTCATCCATAATGCTCATTAGTTTTCACCTGCACACACAACTTCACGGCTTTCTACTTTGCCTCTACAAATTTCCAGAACAACAGGACCTTTGGTTACTAGTAAATGGACTGATTCTTATATAGCGCTTTTCTACTCTCCCAGAGCACTCAAAGCACAACATGCCACATTCCCCCCCATTCATTCTTCTATACTTCAGGGATGTTTAGCAAACATTCACACACATTCACGCTGCGACGGATGTATTGGAGAGCAACCGGGGGTTAGAATCTTGCTCAAGGATTTTTGGCATGCAGACTAGGGGAGCCAGGGATCGAACCACCAACCTTCCAATGAGTAGCTGACCTGATCTATCACCTGAGCTACAGCCACCCTGGTGCTCTTTACTCTGTTAAAAGTCTGGACACAGAAAAACACACGCTCTTTATCCATCAGCGTAAGACTTAATGTCTCTCCTCCTTTTGTCCTCATGCTGTTCGGAGCTTGTCGGGTCAAGACCTCTGTGTGTGCGTGCACAGTGATGTAGCTGCCCATTAAGCCGGTCTGAGAGGAGGAAAGCGTTCCTGAGGGGAGAGGTGGTGATTTCTGCCAGCTGTCTCTGTGATGACAAGTCTGACATGTTCCTCGTTCTGACATCACACACACGCACTCCTCACAACTGGAAGGCGAGAGCACGGTGTATGTATTTTAACATCGTTTTGCTCTATGTTGTTAAACTGTAAATTCACAGCAGTATGCTTTTCATTGAGCTGGGCACAAAATGGAGCGAAAATAGACTTTGGTTTATTTTCCAACCGCAGTTTTACATGGTCCACTCGAGTCAAGAAAAAGTACCCTGAGGCACACGAATAGTAATTCTTTTCTACACTGAAATTAAATTTGGGCTCCCCTTGAAGTGGTGGGCGCACCAACAGGCTATACTGACATTTAAATAAAGATGTATTCATTTTTCAGCTGAGGTCAGACTTGCATTCATACTCTTCTATTTGTATGCTGTGGAGCCACATAATAGCATGAATCAAATAAGTCCTTTAGCAATTTCTTCTATAAGACACATATTAGTAGTGTTGCTGATTGTGTTCCTTGCCTGAGGGTCCGTTACCTGGCTCATGGCCGGTTCCGGTGGCCAGGGCAGGCATGCCTCCTGCCGGCTACTTCCTGGTTCTCCTCAGACTGTGGAAAATGGCGTCAGGAGCTCCTCGGAAGCAATCTCCAGCTGAATCTGAGGATGGGCTTTATGCCATAGAGCCCTGCAAGAGAACAAGAATTTTGAGCCTACTTGTGGCAGAACAGATGTATATGTCTGAGTATGTGTTTAGGGATTACACTGGCATCTGTAACCATGGATATAAATATATATATTATAAAACATATATTTGTCTCTGTAGGTGAGCCAGTGCATGTGCGTTGACAGTGTGTTCACAATTTACTTCTAGTGTTTACAACGCATTACTTTTTCTGCTGCTACTTTTCAGCTTATATATCCCCCTGAATCACAACATAAGGAAACCAAGCAGCTAATGTGCATCAGTGTGGACAACACACACGTATTCTGCTCATTTCCAACTCCATGTCTTTATTCTTGGATTCTATTGAAATAGTTTTCCATTATCCAGAGCTCAAACTAATCCTTTTTTCTCTCCTTCTGTTCATCCTCTGCATGGGTTGGAGTTTCAGCTACTTTACCACAACCTTTAATAAATTTTATGTATATAAGACTGTATCACAGCAACAGTCACATCAAGGCGCTTATTGTAAGCTAAATACCCTACAATAATAGAGAGAAAACCCCGACAATCAGACAACGCCGTATTAGAAAACATTTAGCATCAGTGGGAACTACAATCTTTAACAGGAAGAAAACCTCCAGCTCTGTACAAACACATGTAGAGTTTGAGCCTACGCAGCAAAATAGAAACAAACATGAAAAGTCTTAAGGCATGCTGCACCATCTTTTTCTTCATTTTTTGTTGCATGTGAAGGGGACCACATTCTCAACTGTTAGTGTCTGTTCAGACCACAAGAAAATCTGATGGTCATGGGAGGAGTAAAGTGACACCTTGCCATGTTGATAAAGGTCAAGCTCTGCTTAGTTGCAATGAGCTGTTCCTCCATGTATCCATGTAAAGCCTGACATCTCCAAATGGTTCTCCCACCATCTAGTGGGAACTGTTGCAACTGCAGGGAGTGTTCACCCTAAAAACCCCAGCTGGGGTGCAACCTGAAGGACTTTTCCTCAACAAACCACCTGTATGTGTGTAAGTCAGAAGATCTTGTCTGCATGTACGAAAACACATCTGGGTGATGGAAAGGTGCACAGACTGTTTTTCTTCTTCTCTTTTCAAAAACAATCCTTTCTGCTGGGCCTGCGGGGAGAATCGGTGGAACAATCTGAATCTCAGCTGGATGCTGATGAAGTTAGAGAGAGAAACAGTCAGGAGGTGAATGACTTACAGAGAAAAACACTTGAGTGCCTGAAACTTCTCACTGCCTATCAAGAAATGTAAAGTCTGTTTCAAGTTTAAAACTTGAAGACAGTTTTGTTATTTAATCTTTAGCTTCTCCTCTTTCTTGAGCAGACGGGACATTGGAAGATCACTGCTCAAAGCAAATGGCCAAAAGACATCAAGAACTTCATCAGGTAAAGAAACAGGAGAAAAACGTGTCATCCTCTGAATGCTTTCTCAGGGTTCAACTGGGAGAAATGCTGTCTCCATCTGGGCCTGACAGGAAGAGCAATGACAGGACACAAGAGAGGTCAACTTTGCCAACGAAGGTCAGCGCCACTGAATCCTCCCCAGGCACCCACTGGGATGTTGGATTTTCTGTCTGTCCTGTTCTTCCCACATCCAGTAACAGCAAGGCCAGCTCCTGGCACTGGATTTTACTGGGCCACCATGAATGACACTCGTCTCCACTGCGTAACTGATGACCATCCAAAACCAGCCCTGTCACACCTGCTCTGGTTACAGCTCAAAGGAGCAGTTAGCTCCAAAGTTATCCAGCAGCTCCAGTGTCTGCTGATCAGCTTCAGGGTTTATCTACACTGGTCCTTATATGACAGAAAATCTATTCAGCAGCCTGTGCAACACATGCTCCTTTTACCAACACCGTTCTGTCAGCTAGATTGAAGAAATTCATCTTGTGACATTTAAATAAAAGCAATCACTGCAGTGATCACAAATTTGATGAAAATATTTAATGTTAGCTTTCAGATTCGACACTTCTTAGACACTCAATCCTACTAGATGTTTTAGTCAGTACCAAATATATATTAAAAGGATAAAACAGTTTGAGGTCTGTGTAATCACTGGTGATTCCCTAACCCTTTACCTCCAACTATCATCTAAATCCACTGCATAGTTCCTGCAGCATCCAAGGCCACAGACTTGCTGAGGTATTAAATTTGCAGACAGTAATCAACAGCTGCATGCTGAAGGGTACACTATGTTGTTTTTGCTTGCTCTTGTGTGTTCCCATAAAGGTCAGTTATGGTAGCAGACAGCACACAATCTTCCAGCCCATAAAAAGAGGTTTCCAAATATTTTCCCTGTGATGATGTTTAGAGGAGGGAAGTTCTGCTACAGAGACTGAAGATGAGAGATTTACAAGCTCATGGGTTTAAAACGAGGAATAAAACTGTGCTTTTTATGGAAAACTGTGGTTGCTTCAAGCCACTATGATGTAGAGTAGCTGAAATACAAATTGATTTCTTTCTTCACAGTCGCCCCGATACCAGCACCCCAAACCACCACAATGTGCAAAGTCAGACAGACAGAAGTAGATAGAGTTACAGGCGATGCACACAAGCATACATGACACACTTGTAAGAGCATAATTGCAGCTTAACCAGCTGTGGTAAAGGCGAACATTCATTTACACACAGTGGAACTCCATTTCAATGAGCTGTGCATAATTGCAGTGTATTAAAGCGTGGTCTTTGGGAATTTTTATCCACATGACATTCTGAAATGGAAAGAAAGAAATTGAGAAATCCTTCTGATGGCAGCCCTCTGCCGTTTTCTGGTTCTTCTGTGGAAAAACACATTGTTGAATAATGTCTTTCTCCTGCCTCGCTGTGGCCCTGCCAAAGTGTCACCACGTCCATTCCTATTAAGCATGAGGCGCTGGCGGGACAGGGTTGAGTTTTCTGGAGTGTGCCATGCGTCTTCTGCTTAATAGCCGTTAGCTTTATGAGGGATCGGGGCTGCTTAAAATAAGACTTGGCGGTACCTGGCACGGTTTGTGTTCCTGCAATGACTGACTGCTATGAAGGAGGAGAGGAGCAGTAATAACAAAGCAATGAGCAATAGGAAGAAGTCCATGCATACATATGTAAATTAGGTTAGGATTGGGTTAGCAAATGTGGAATATCGGTGTAAACCAAGATGTAGAAGAGTTCATATCAAGGGCAGCGTCCTTGTAAGCAGTTAACAGGAAAATGTGAAAAGTGAGCGCTCATCTCTCGGGCTCAGGTGGGATTTTTCTGACAGCTCAGACAGAATCAGCACTCAGCCATGTGTTCCTCATGACTGTCCAGTTGTTCCACATAAAATACTTCTGCTTATGTATATGTACACACATGAACACACACACACACACACACGCCAAGAAAATCAATATACAACTCTCTACTGTATTCAATGTTTCCTATAGAAAAACTACACTAAATGTTTTGCAGCAGCACTCCAAACTGTAACACTTCCCATGTAATAAAAACTCATAGTAACAGGGTAATCGTATAAATCAGTATGAACTGTACAAATACTGATAGAAAGTGGAAAAAGAACAAGCAAAGTCACTTTGTCTACACAAAAATCATTTGACCACAGAAACCTTCATGAGCACATGATTGAATACATGTGCAGGGCAAAAACAGGTTCAGTAAGCCAACCAGCCAAAATCCGATGACAAAGATGTTCTACACAAGATAACAAATCAAGAAGAAATGGCCAAAAGCTCTGCAGGGACTTACCAGATCACCTTCTTCGTTCAACAGAAACAGCTTTCTACGCAGCAGCAGATACTCAGACGTGCACAAAAACACTAGAGCCTCCCATACAGGATGATACCCACCCGCCAGGTGTGTCAGCTCACCTGGAAAGACCTGAAATTCGAGTTCCTCCTGCCTAAGGGTTGACTGCGCTCCACCCACTTTTAATTTACACTACAACTCAATAGTAAAGAGACAGAAAGGGTGTTAACCAGTTTGACCCTGGCACAAAAAAAAACAAGTCTTATCTTGGTCTTCTCCGAAACTGGAAACTTTTATTTGACTTTGATTTTACATACAGCCTTGCTTCTGTTTGGCTAAACATGCTTTTAAGTATACTATAGAAACGTATCAATCAAACTATATTTCCTTCTGTCATACACAATGTAACAAAAAGGTCCAGATAAAGTGCTTAGTAAACGCAATACAGTGTAGTCTTTTCAAAACGTAATAACAACAAATAACCACTAGATGGTGCAATCAGCTCACTAAATATTTTCACTGCTCAGCCACCAGGAGCAAAAACTACTTTGGAGAATAGCTGACAGCTTACATTCACATTGTTGCTTCAGTTTGTGTATTTTTTTTGTGTGTGAGTGTCCCCATCATGACCTCAAGATGTGCCTCAGTGTGCCAGTAAATACAGGGATCGGTAATCTCATCCACTGCCTGCCAGGCAGGGCCCCATTATTCCTCCACAGAGGAGGCAGTTTTGTTCTTGATGCTCATTTAGTTAAGGTGGCACACAAAGACAGAAAATTATAATTCTTATTAACAAATCAGATTACAATGGATTTTGAGAAGAAAAAAAAGGAATTGATTAAGAGTATTGTAGTGCAATCATTTTGCAAGACTTGAGCAAGTTGCCAGTTGTACACATTATCTGAGCTTTTTTCACTGAACACTTAATTCAACCCTGATCTGCCAAAAGAGGCATATAAAGAAAGCAGATAAATGGTCATTTCAAGCAGATATTCTTTTTCAAACACAGCTTTGCAGATGCATGGCCAAAAATCCTTGATAAGGCTTTTTCAGGAGCATTAACGTACCATTTGCCATTTTCCTCCAAGTATACTGAATGGGGACATCTATTACCTGCGTAACCTTCTTACTAAGTTGAAACTAACAGATAATGATAATAAATGGGAGATTAATTGTCCATAATAATACAACAGCACTGCTATAATACACAGTGTGTTTCTTTGTCCACAAACTCATCGTAGACCATCAGGTGTTGAACAACCAAACCTTTCCCAC